TGGTTCCCCGGGGTACCAATTTTTGCTTCCCCAGGTCCCAGGTCGGTTTCCCCCAGGACCGGGAGGTTCCCAGGTACCACTCTTGCCCCCCCCAGGTCCCATACATTTCCCCAGGTACCAGGTCTGCTCCCCAGGAACCGGTACTGGTACGGGGAAAAAAGATTTGGCAGACGATGCCCATCCCCCCAATAAAAAACAGGGGTGTCACTAGCACTTAAGGACCAACAAAAGGCGGGGGCCCGAATTTTAAAACTCCCCCCAGCAACATAAGGGGTTACCAACAGCCCCCTGGCATCTTCAAGCGGGCACTGGACAACACCTAAAGTCATTCCCGATCGCCGGGGTTGGCTCTAGTTGGTTTGCGGCACCAGCGCAACAGCCTGGGTTTTAGGCGTGATCCACCGGGGGCCCGGTCACAGACCGGGGCGGGGCGTTGCCCCCCCAAACTCTCTCAGGAAAAAAACCAGGTAAACATACCAAATCTTGCTTCCCCAGGGACCAGGGATTGGTTCCCAGGTACCATCTTCTTCCCCCGGGACCAGGGAAATGTTCCCCAGGTAACCCCGCTTGCTTTCCCCGGGACCAGGTACTGGGCCCCCAGGGCCACTCTTTGGTTCCCAGGTACCCGGTACTGGTTTTCCCCCCGTACCATGTCTTTCTTTCCCCAGGTACCAGGAACGGTTTCCCGCACCACGTCTTTCTTCCCCAGGGACAGGTCTGGGTTTCCCCCGGTTTTTTACCCCCCCCCCCAGGGACCATATGTTCCCCAGTACCCCGTCTTGCTTCCCCCGGACCGGGATGGTTCCCCCGGATAGATTTGCTTCCCCGGGACCAGGGTTGGTTCCCAAGGTATCAGGACTGGGTTCCCAACCCGGGGACTGGGTTTCCCCCGGTACGGGACTGGGTTCCCCAGGGTTCCGTTTTCTTACCCCTACCATATGGTTCCCCCCCGGGACAGGTAGGTTTCCCCCCGGTAACAGGGACGGTTCCCCATATCAATACTGGGTTCCCCCCCCGACCAGGTCTTGCTTCCCCAGGTAAAAAAGGTCTTTCTACCCCGGTACTAATCTTTCTTCCCCAGGCCCAGGTACTGATTCCCCCGGGGACCAGGTCTTGTTCTCCCCAAATACCAGAAAATATTTCCCAGTACCAATTTGTTCCCCATTTACCAGGCCCACTTTCCCAGTTCCAATCCTGCTTTCCCCGGACCGGTCCTGCTTCCCAGGTACCAATCCTGCTTCCCAGGTACCGCTCAAAACTTCTTTAGGACTGCCCCCTAGGTACCCCGGAAAGCTTCCCCCAAATGCCGGTTTTTCCTTCCCCAGATTCATTTCCCGTACCCCCGGTACCAGGTCTCCTTCCCCTCCAGGGGAAAAAAGTTTTGGGGTTGATGGAAAAAGCTGGGAGGAAAGGTTTGACTCACTTATCTGCGAAGCGACCCCGCTGGGGTCTGATATACCTAAATTACATTAACCAAAAGATAATATTATATATATATATATAATATATATATATAATAATATATATATATATATAATTATATTAAATAATATATATTATTTATTATCACAAGGCCGATTCCCCCAAAGGGAGGGTGGCCCCAAAAAGAAAAACTTTACCCTATTCCTCCATCACGTTGCCAGAAGGGGGCTTTACACTACAGTTTTTAAACTGAAAAATTAACACCCCTCCTTTAAGAGTGCAGGCACTGTACTTCCCATCTCCGGGACTCAGTCCGGCCTGCCGGTTTCCCTGAATCCCTTCATAAATGTTACTTTGCTCACACTCCAACAGCACGTCAAGTATTAAAAACCATTTGTCTCCATTCACTCCTATCAAACACGCTCACGCATGCCTGCTGGAAGTCCAAGCCCCTCGCACACAAAACCTCCTTTACCCCTCCCTCCAACCTTTCCTAGGCCGACCCCTACCCGCCCTTCCTTCCACTACAGACTGATACACTCTTGAAGTCATTCTGTTTCGCTCCATTCTCTTACATGTCCGAACCACCTCAACAACCCTTCCTCAGCCCTCTGGACAACAGTTTTGGTAATCCCGCACCTCCTCCTAACTTCCAAACTACGAATTCTCTGCATTATATTCACACCACACATTGCCCTCAGACATGACATCTCCACTGCCTCCAGCCTTCTCCTCGCTGCAACATTCATCACCCACGCTTCACACCCATATAAGAGCGTTGGTAAAAACATACTCTCATACATTCCCCTCTTTGCCTCCAAGGACAAAGTTCTTTGTCTCCACAGACTCCTAAGTGCACCCACTCACTCTTTTTTTTCCTTCATCAATTCTATGATTCACCTCATCTTTCATAGACCCATCCGCTGACCACGTCCACTCCCAAATATCTGAATGCGTTCACCTCCTCCATACTCTCCCTCCAATCTGATATTCAATCTTTCATTATCTAATCTTTTTGTTATCCTCATAACCTTACTCTTTCCTGTATTCACCTTTAATTTTCTTCTTTTGCACACCCTACCAAATTCATCCACCAATCTCTGCAACTCTCTTCAGAATCTCCCAAGAGCACAGTGTCATCAGCAAAGAGCAGCTGTGACAACTCCACTTTGTGTGTGATTCTTTATCTTTTAACTCCACGCCTCTTGCCAAGACCCTCGCATTTACTTCTCTTACAACCCCATCTATAAATATATTAAACAACCACGGTGACATCACACATCCCTGTCTAAGGCCTACTTTTACTGGGAAATAATTTCCCTCTTTCCTACATACTCTAACTTGAGCCTCACTATCCTCGTAAAAACTCTTCACTGCTTTCAGTAACCTACCTCCTACACCATACACTTGCAACATCTGCCACATTGCCCCCCTATCCACCCTGTCATACGCTTTTTCCAAATCCATAAATGCCACAAAGACCTCTTTAGCCTTATCTAAATACTGTTCACTTATATGTTTCACTGTAAACACCTGGTCCAGGTAGTAGGTTGGTAGACAGCAACCACCCAGGGAAGTACTACCGTCCTGCCAGATGACTGTGAAACAAAAACCTGTAAACTGTTTTGCATGATGGTAGGATTGCTGGTTTCTTTTTCTGTCTCATAAACACGCTAGATAACAGGGATATCTTGCTACTCCTACTTACACTTTGGTCACACTTCACAGACACGCACATGCATATATATATACATACATCTAGGTTTTTCTCCTTTTTCTAAATAGCTCTTGTTCTTCTTTATTTTTCTATTGCCCATGGGAAGTGGAAAAGAATCTTTCCTCCGTAAGCCATGCGTGTCGTATGAGGCGACTAAAATGCCGGGAGCAATGGGCTAGTAACCCCTTCTCCTGTAGACATTTACTAAAAAGAGAAGAAGAAAAACTTTATAAAACTGGGATGCTTAAATGTGCATGGATGTATGCGGATGACAAGAAACAGATGATTGCTGATGTTATGAATGAAAAGAAGTTGGATGTCCTGGCCCTAAGCGAAACAAAGCTGAAGGGGGTAGGAGAGTTTCAGTGGGGGGAAATAAATGGGATTAAATCTGGAGTATCTGAGAGAGTTAGAGCAAAGGAAGGGGTAGCAGTAATGTTAAATGATCAGTTATGGAAGGAGAAAAGACAATATGAATGTGTAAATTCAAGAATTATGTGGATTAAAGTAAAGGTTGGATGCGAGAAGTGGGTCATAATAAGCGTGTATGCACCTGGAGAAGAGAGGAATGCAGAGGAGAGAGAGAGATTTTGGGAGATGTTAAGTGAATGTATAGGAGCCTTTGAACCAAGTGAGAAATATAATATATATATATATATATATTATATATATATATATATATAATATATATATATATATATAATATATAATATATATATATATATATATATATGCAAAACAACCACTCTGAAAGAATAGAGAAATTCCAAGCGCTTTCGTGACTACTCACATTATCAAGGAACTATGAAAGTAAAGCATCCAAGGAAGCTATATAAGGGGTCTGGCCAGCACCTCACTATCAGATCCCACAACGGTTAAACACCTGACGCGCGCCGACCCAACTTGGATAGGTCCTTTGCACAACTCACCCACAAACTATTCTACCCAAGAAAATTTAAAAATTATTATTTGTCCAGTGTATTATTAAATTCTTCCCAAATTCTATTAATTATAAATGGATCTAATTTATATAAACCAAAGGAAATATTCATATTATTGTCAAAACTGCTTTTTATGAAACAAGATTCAATTATATTCCTGTCGACCATGGACTTGCTTGATACTACTTACTTGATTTTCAAAAAGTTGAGAAAGTAGTATCAAGCAAGTCCATGGTCGACAGGAATATAATTGAATCTTGTTTCATAAAAAGCAGTTTTGACAATAATATGAATATTTCCTTTGGTTTATATAAATTAGATCTATTTATAATTAATAGAATTTGGGAAGAATTTAATAATACACTGGACAAATAATAATTTTTAAATTTCTTGGGTAGAATAGTTTGTGGGTGAGTTGTGCAAAGGACCTGTCCAAGTTGGGTCGGCGCGCGTCAGGTGTTTAACCGTTGTGGGATCTGATAGTGAGGTGCTGGCCAGACCCCTTATATAGCTTCCTTGGATGCTTTACTTTCATAGTTCCTTGATAATGTGAGTAGTCACGAAAGCGCTTGGAATTTCTCTATTCTTTCAGAGTGGTTGTTTTGCATATTCTAAAATCACCTGTTTACTGTGATCTTATTGCATATATATATATATATATATATATATATAAATATATATATATATATATATATTATATATATATATATATATATATATATATATATATATATATATATATACCTTGCACGGGAATACAGGAAGTAAATCTGTGAGTCCTGTATACCAGCATACCAATATACGTTTCTGAATGAGAGTATACCTTTAATAACACGAATATACCTCCAGTAAGTATACACCAGCATATATACCTTGAACGAAGCTACGGGAAGCATACCAGTAAATATACACCAACATACCTCCTTAGGAGAGAGAATAGAGATATAGTCTTCATAAATCAACCTGGCTTTCTCTTCTATAACAGATGGATTATTCTCAACCTTGAGATCTTCACAGGCTTGCCAGAACAAGATATTCTCCTCTGAGTATTCACACTTCAGAAAGTCTCTGAATGCTTGACGACCACCTGTCAAGGAGAAGGCATCTATCATTAGTACTGGCGAGACTACATCTGCTGAAGAGGACCCCAGAAGGGGGTCGAAATATGCAGATTAATATATTATGGTGAATTTACGTCTACATGATGGTAAGAAATATTAGTATAAACCTTGGTAATAAATACCGACAAGTTGTTTTAGAAGTGATCAAGGTCCCAGGACCGAAACGTTTTCTAATAAATATGTTATAGTGTTTGCTTACGTGTCTTTCTAAACCAAGAAATATTAGTACATGCTGGTCTATTCTGACATTTATTGCCTTAAAATATACACAAATCTATTGTAAATAGATCTATTGTAAATAGATGCTTGTATATGAATGGTTCAGAGAACCGACATGTTGATAAATTAGACACATGTGTAACTCTTGGGTATCTTTATTGAGGAAACGTTTCGCCACACAGTGGCTTTATCAGTCCATACATAGGAGAAACTTGAAGAACAGGAGGAGAATGAGGTAATCAGTCCCTCAACCTTGATGGATTGTTGGACTGAACACATCGACTCAAGGTTGAGGGACTGATTACCTCATTCTCCTCCTGTTCTTCAAGTTTCTCCTACGTATGGACTGATGAAGCCACTGTGTGGCGAAACGTTTCCTCAATAAAGATACCCAAGAGTTGCACATGTGTCTAATTTATCAAATAATAATAATAATAATAATAATAATAATAATAATAATATAATAATAATAATAATAATAATAATAATAATAATAACAATAATAATAATAACAATAATAATAATAATAATAATAATAATAATAACAATAATAATAATAATAATAATAATAATAATAATAATATAATTAACATGTTCATAAGTGCTAAACCCACAAGGGTCAATAATATAATTTAATAATAATAATGATAGAGCTTGTATAGATTCTGTATAGCGTCGCCATCACACACAAATCCTGTGTTCTTGGGGCAAGATTTTGTAAAATATTAATTTTCTCTCTCACAGGTCGACACAGATTTTCTGAACCGATTAAGACGTGTTGAAGTTGGTGAAAAAAACTGTGATCGCTAATCGGCAACAGTGACACTATAGCGACGGCCAAGAGGTCGCTACTCAGTAACAGTGACACTATAGCGACGGCCAAGAGGTCGCTACTCAGTAACAGTGACACTATAGCGACGGCCAAGAGGTCGCTACTCAGTAACAGTGACACTATAGCGACGGCCAAGAGGTCGCTACTCAGTAACAGTGACACAATAGCGACGGCCAAGAGGTCGCTACTCAGTAACAGTGACACTATAGCGACGGCCAAGAGGTCGCTACTCAGTAACAGTGACACTATAGCGACGGCAAAGAGGTCGCTACTCAGTAACAGTAACACTATAGCGACGGCCAAGAGGTCGCTACTCAGTAACAGTGACACTATAGCGACGGCCAAGAGGTCGCTACTCAGTAACAGTGACACTATAGCGACGGCCAAGAGGTCGCTACTCAGCAACAGTGACACAACAGAGACGGCCAAGAGGTCGCTACTCAGTAACAGTGACACTATAGCGACGGCCAAGAGGTCGCTACTCAGCAACAGTGACACAACAGAGACGGCCAAGAGGTCGCTACTCAGTAACAGTGACACTACAGCGACGGCCAAGAGGTCGCTACTCAGTAACAGTGACACTATAGCGACGGCCAAGAGGTCGCTACTCAGTAACAGTAACACTATAGCGACGGCCAAGAGGTCGCTACTCAGTAACAGTGACACAATAGCGACGGCCAAGAGGTCGCTACTCAGTAACATGTGACACTATAGCGACGGCCAAGAGGTCGCTACTCAGTAACAGTGACACTATAGCGACGGCCAAGAGGTCGCTACTCAGCAACAGTGACACAACAGAGACGGCCAAGAGGTCGCTACTCAGTAACAGTGACACTATAGCGACGGCCAAGAGGTCGCTACTCAGCACAGTGACACAACAGAGACGGCCAAGAGGTCGCTACTCAGTAACAGTGACACTACAGCGACGGCCAAGAGGTCGCTACTCAGTAACAGTGACACTATAAGCGACGGCCAAGAGGTCGCTACTCAGTAACATGACACTATAGCGACGGCCAAGAGGTCGCTACTCAGTAACAGTGACACTATAGCGACGGCCAAGAGGTCGCTACTCAGTAACAGTGACACTATAGCGACGGCCAAGAGGTCGCTACTCAGCAACAGTGACACAACAGAGACGGCCAAGAGGTCGCTACTAGTCAAACAGTGACACAACAGGACGGCCAAGAGGTCGCTACTCAGTAACAGTGACACTATAGCGACGGCCAAGAGGTCGCTACTCAGTAACAGTGACACTATAGCGACGGCCAAGAGGTCGCTACTCAGCAACAGTGACACAACAGAGACGGCCAAGAGGTCGCTAATCGGCAACAGTGACACTACAGCGACGGCCAAGAGGTCGCTACTCAGTAACAGTGACACTATAGCGACGGCCAAGAGGTCGCTACTCAGTAACAGTGACACTATAGCGACGGCCAAGAGGTCGCTACTCAGTAACAGTGACACTATAGCGACGGCCAAGAGGTCGCTACTCAGCAAACAGTGACACACAGAGACGGCCAAGAGGTCGCTACTCAGCAACAGTGACACAACAGAGACGGCCAAGAGGTCGCTACTCAGTAACAGTGACACAACAGAGACGGCCAAGAGGTCGCTACTCAGTAACAGTGACACTATAGCGACGCCCAAGAGGTCGCTACCCAGTAACAGTGACACTATAGCGACGGCCAAGAGGTCGCTACTCAGCAACAGTGACACAACAGAGACGGCCAAGATGTCGCTACTCAGCAACAGTGACACAACAGAGACGGCCAAGAGGTCGCTACTCAGTAACAGTGACACTATAGCGACGCCCAAGAGGTCGCTACTCAGCAACAGTGACACAACAGAGACGGCCAAGAGGTCGCTACTCAGTAACAGTGACACTATAGCGACGCCCAAGAGGTCGCTACTCAGTAACAGTGACACTATAGCGACGGCCAAGAGGTCGCTACTCAGTAACAGTGACACTGTAGCGACGGCCAAGAGGTCGCTATTCAGCAACAGTGACACAACAGAGACGGCCAAGAGGTCGCTACTCAGCAACAGTGACACAACAGAGACGGCCAAGAGGTCGCTACTCAGTAACAGTGACACTATAGCGACGCCCAAGAGGTCGCTACTCAGTAACAGTGACACTATAGCGACGGCCAAGAGGTCGCTACTCAGTAACAGTGACACTATAGCGACGGCCAAGAGGTCGCTACTCAGTAACAGTGACACAATAGCGACGGCCAAGAGGTCGCTACTCAGTAACAGTGACACTACAGCGACGGCCAAGAGGTCGCTACTCAGTAACAGTGACACTATAGCGACGGCCAAGAGGTCGCTACTCAGTAACAGTGACACTATAGCGACGGCCAAGAGGTCGCTACTCAGTAACAGTGACACTATAGCGACGGCCAAGAGGTCGCTACTCAGTAACAGTGACACTATAGTGACGGCCAAGAGGTCGCTACTCAGTAACAGTGATACAATAGCGACGGCCAAGAGGTCGCTACTCAGTAACAGTGACACAATAGCGACGGCCAAGAGGTCGCTACTCAGTAACAGTGACACTACAGCGACGGCCAAGAGGTCGCTACTCAGTAACAGTGACACTATAGCGACGGCCAAAAGGTCGCTACTCAGTAACAGTGACACTATAGCGACGGCCAAGAGGTCGCTACTCAGTAACAGTGACACAATAGCGACGGCCAAGAGGTCGCTACTCAGCAACAGTGACACAATAGCGACGGTCAAGAGGTCGCTACTCAGTAACAGTGACACAATAGCGACGGTCAAGAGGTCGCTACTCAGTAACAGTGACACAGTAGCGACGGTCAAGAGGTCGCTACTCAGCAACAGTGACACAATAGCGACGGCCAAGAGGTCGCTACTCAGTAACAGTGACACTACAGCGACGGCCAAGAGGTCGCTACTCAGTAACAGTGACACTATAGCGACGGCCAAGAGGTCGCTACTCAGTAACAGTGACACAATAGCGACGGCCAAGAGGTCGCTACTCAGTAACAGTGACACTATAGCGACGGCCAAGAGGTCGCTACTCAGTAACAGTGACACTACAGCGACGGCCAAGAGGTCGCTACTCAGTAACAGTGACACTACAGCGACGGCCAAGAGGTCGCTACTTAGTAACAGTGACACAATAGCGACGGCCAAGAGGTCGCTACTCAGTAACAGTGACACAGTAGCGACGGTCAAGAGGTTGCTACTCAGTAACAGTGACACAATAGCGACGGCCAAGAGGTCGCTACTCAGTAACAGTGACACAATAGCGACGGCCAAGAGGTCGCTACTCAGTAACAGTGACACAATAGCGACGGCCAAGAGGTCGCTACTCAGTAACAGTGACACAATAGCGACGGCCAAGAGGTCGCTACTCAGTAACAGTGACACAATAGCGACGGCCAAGAGGTCGCTACTCAGTAAACAGTGACACTATAGCGACGGCCAAGAGGTCGCTACTCAGTAACAGTGACACTACAGCGACGGCCAAGAGGTCGCTACTAGTAACAGTGACACAATAGCGACGGCCAAGAGGTCGCTACTCAGTAACAGTGACACAATAGCGACGGCCAAGAGGTCGCTACTCAGTAACAGTGACACAATAGCGACGGCCAAGAGGTCGCTACTCAGTAACAGTGACCACAATAGCGACGGCCAAGAGGTCGCTACTCAGTAACAGTGACACAATAGCGACGGCCAAGAGGTCGCTACTCAGTAACAGTGACACATAGCGACGGCCAAGAGGTCGCTACTCAGTAACAGTGACACAATAGCGACGGCCAAGAGGTCGCTACTCAGTAACAGTGACACAGTGGCGACGGTATATAAGGAACATCAGAAAGATATACCGTATATACTATATATGGTATAACTGGTTTTTATTTTTGGTATTTTGGTCTATTAACCAAA